CATAGTTCAAAAGAATCTATTCTTCAGCGCTCGGCCTTCCTTATAGTCCAACTCTCGCAGCCATACATGACTACTGGGAATACCATTGCTACTGAGAACTCAGACCAAGGGTGATCCCCTGGAGAAGGAAATGACAACCCACTCCAGTATTTTTGCCAAGAAAATCCCATGGACAGTATCAAAAGGAGGATTGCTCAGTTTAATTCTAGCTTCAAAGCATGAGACGCCGGCCCTGGTGGTCCTTCCTCTTGTTGGAATCTGGACACCGCAGAAAAGCCATTGTGATGGACACCCCACCCCCATCATAAGACCCTGAGCATGAGTCACAGGGAAAGAACTTTGATCCACATTAGGCCAGGCATTTGGAGAAAGGATACTTCATCAGGACACATGTCATTGCCCCGACCTGGACAGCCCAGGCATGCCCGATCTCGTCAGATCTCGAAAGCTAAGCAGGGTTGACTCTGGAAAGTACTTGGATGGGAGACCTCCAAGGAATACCAGCAGTCGGGAGGCGGGGGCAGGCTTTTTTCCAGCCACCTCTCTGAATATCCTCCAGGCCCCCAGGAGGGGTCAGTCACCAGAGGTCGCCATGACTTCCAGGTGTGCACGCGTGCACACACACACTAAATACACACACACACACACATTATTGATTGACAGAAGGCAGGGAAAGTATCAAACATTGGAAGGTGTACAATAATATAAATTTATGAGAAGATTATGAGAAGTAATAAACTAACACATAAGCTTAGAAAGACAGGATCTCACAAAGTATATTGTTTATTAACAGTTTTTTCCTCCATTACTAACTGCAGTCTAACAGGGTAATGATCTCCTACTCTTGGGTTTTTAGTTTAGTGTGGGTTACTTTCCTTTCTCCTTAGTTGTAGTTCCCCTTCCCTTTTTTCTTCTTTGTAGTTTATGTAGTATTATAAAAAATAAAAAAAATCCCCTCCAGGGGGTCTTAAAAATAATAATGTAAATTTATTTATTTATTTATTTCTACCTCGCCTTCCTACATAGAGTTGCAAAGTCTAGGTTAGGAAATACGGGGAGATTTTCAGGGCGGAGGGTAACAAAGGCGGGGCCTGGGGAGGGGAGGGACTCCAGTGGGATACACAGCCCACCTTCCAAAGCGGCAACCTCCCCCACCCTCCAAAAACCAATCCCATATAAACCACTGATCGGAAAGGGGCAAGCTCAGGATCAGTTGCTCATGCAGAGTTGTGACAGGCAGCCTCCCCTCAGAGGGAGATGGATCCTACTGCTCTCTGCATACAGAGGAACAGAACCGTTTCACACAGAGAGACAGAATTTGCCACCCCATTTCGGTGAGCCTGGAACTTCATGCAGAGACGCGACAGAGAACCTCCTAAATAAATGATCTGAGAGCATCACAGACTTCACTTGTTTACTCTTTTTTTGGCAACAGGGTGCAGCTTGGGGGAAAAAAACCCAAGCCCGATATTCCCTGCTCCCCCAAACCTCCGCCCTCCCTCAGGGAAAGGGTGTGGCACAGACCTGTTGATTCCTGGCGAGGCACTGCCCTCTGTCCTTCTTCAGCCACGCTGCCAGCTGCCTGCCACCGAGCAAGAAGAGGAGCGGCTGGCGGGAGAGAAGCTCACCGCCTTTTGCAGACACCCCCAGTCGGTTCCTATGGAGACAGAGAATCAATTACAGCCACAGAGGTGAGGCCGGCAGGACCTCCTATGGGGGGGGGGAGTGGATGGAAAGAAAGCGAAGGCACCCCAGCAATGACGGGGTCGGGCTTCGGCGTTGCCCAGCACCGCGCATGCAAAGCCCTCACCTCTCCCAAAAAGACATCCAAGAATGCAAATGTGAGATTGCACGCAAGTACAAGCTTTGCCTGGGAGAACTTGCACAGAATTGGTGTGTCTCATCAGCTGGGGAAGGGCGGGTGGGGTGCGCGGGGGCTTGTCAGGGGCTCATTTGCCTGCAAAATCCAGGAATTTCCCCTTCGACAGTCATTCCAGTTCTGGATGTTAGCGGCCCAGTGTGAATGCACGCCTGAAATGCTCTCTCATCGGAGGGCACGAGCCAGCTTAAAGGCACGAAGTGATTCCAGTGGGGTTTTCAAAGTGGCTACTGAGATCATGTTCAGGATCAAGTTTCTCAAAGCACGGCTTAAACATTAGGCGCCTGATCCAACCCGAGTCGAGTGCCGGAAATGCTCGCCAGTTTCAAAGCGGGGGGGGGGGGGGGAAGAAGAAGAGAAGAGATTGGACTTATACCCCGCCCTCCACCCGGGAGTCTGAGAGCGGCTTACGAACTCCTTTCCCATCCCCTCCCCACAACAGACACCCTGTGAGGTAGGTGGGGCTGAGAGAGCTCTGAGAGAACTGCTCTGAGAGAACTATGGCTTGCCGAAGGTCATCCAACAGCTGCAGGTGGAATAGTGGGGAATCAAATCCAGTTCTCCCAGATCAGAGTCCGCGCACTTAACCACTACACCAAAGAGAAGTTACACTAGGCTGGCTCAGATCCATGGAAGGCGCCAAGTGAGAGAACAAGCGTTACTGACTTGGATATGCTGGACCAGGCTTAGCAAGATTTCCCTGGTGCCCCGTTTCCCTCAAAGGGTGAGGCCCAGGGGTCATTTCCTGCAGGAGTGCACAGGAGCGGAGCTCCGGCAGTAAAGAGCCCAGGGGGCGGGCACATGCAACAAGCCCTGCCCCCTGCTCCCAGCAGCCCTCAGTCAGAGCAAGAAGCAGCCAGGTAAGTTGCAGAGCTCCCACCGGCCCCCCGGGCCAAAACAGTCCAGTGGCACCTTTAAGACCAAGTTTTATTCAGGTACAAGCTCTCCCTCCTCTGCGAGAACAGATCTGCATGCTCACCCCCCCCCAATAACTAGCAATCCAAAAGAGTCCAGTGGAGCCTGAGCGGTGGGTGTTGCCTTCTGACAACTTCCAGTGATGTCAGGGGGTGTGGCATATGCAAATAAGTTACGCTAATGAGTTATGTGAATGAGCTCCTGCACCTCTTTTTCTACGAAATGACCCCTGGTGAGGCCATCCAGTGACCCCACCCCGATGCCAGCTCCAGGGGCAACAGAAGAAGGTGGCGCCTGTAACAGAGAGGCTCAACAGCCCAGTCTCAGAATGAGCCTCAAGCAAAACTCGTTAGGTAAAGGTTTCCCTTGCTCGGAAGCCAGTCGAATCTGACTCTAGGGATGCGGTGCTCATCTCCGTTTCCAAGCTGAAGAGCCAGCGCTGTCCGAGGACTTCCCCATGGTCATGTGGCCGGCATGACTAGATGCTGAGGCGCACGGAATGCTGTTACACCTTCCCACCGAAGCGGTACCTCTTTGTCTACTTGCAATTTCTTGCTTTCGAACTGCTAGGTTGGCAGGATCTGGGACCAGAGACGGGAGCTCACTCTGCTGTGCGGCAATCAGGTCTCGAACTGCTGAACTACCGACCTTCTGGTCTGCAGTTCAGCGTCTTAACCACTTGAGCCACCCCAAACTTGTTAGTGATCCCCAAATCCATGGGAAGATAGATTTTTTTAGTGGGGAAAAGTGAAAAGATCTGTTCTACCTGGCTTGTGTGTGCTGAGAAGAAACTAAGAAGAGGAGGAGGAGGAGGAGGAGGAGGAGGAGGAAGGCCAGAACTATGGCTTGCCCAAGGTCATCCAGCCGGTGCAAGTGGAGGAGTGGGGAATCAAACCTGGTTCTCCCGGATTAGAGTCCACGCACTTAACCACTACACCAAACTGACACAAAGTGACACGCAGAGCCTCTTTATCTTTGTGAAACTGATAGGAGTCCTTTACTGTGAGGAACTCCATTCTAGACAGGAGAGAGTAGAGATAGGGTTCTACTCTAGTCTAACTATCTAGGATGGATGGATGGAGATGCAGGAGGCATGTCCCACCCTCATGGTGCCAAGATGGAAAAGGGTGGCATAGTGAGGAGGAGATGTAGGGCTGGAAGAAAGGAAGATCAGCAAAATGAGAGTAGCAATCTACACATCAAAGGTAGCAGAAGGGAAGGAAGATCGGGAGAGTAGCAATCTACACATCAAAGGTAGAAGGGAAGGAAGATCAGGGTCCCGGCCTACCTGTCTCTCTGACTCTCTGTAGTCCCCCTCTGAAGTCTGAGACAGCACAAAGCCCTTCAATTCCAACAGTATGTAGGACTGCATTGGACTGATTTAGTTTTTATTTATCGGCAGTCCTGACTGGAGTTTTTAAATTGTGACCAGTGCGGTACAGTGGCCTGGGTGGTGTCGTGTTTAAGAGCGGCAGACTCTAATCTGGAGAACAAGATATGACCCCCCCACTCTATCGCATGAAGCCTGCTGGGCGACCTTGGGCCAGTCACAGGTCTCTCCCAACTCTCTCCGCCCCAAACAAAAAGCGGGGTACAAAAACCTACACTGCTTCTTCTCTCCGCTGCGATCACACACACTTAATAATCCACTTCCAAACTGTATTTTACTGTGTGAGCTGGCAAAATCCAGTTGGGAAGTGCATTGAAAGTGGACTATTTAGTGTGTGTGACCGCAGCCCTTGTGTGTTTTTATCATCGTTGTTTTATTTGTACTGTTCTTGTTCTTTTATAATTGTTTTATTTATTATGGTAAGCCACCTTGAGTTCTGCAAAGGACTAATGAACGTTTTAAATAAATATGTCAATAACATTATCCACACAGATGGTTTTTGAAAAACTCTTTTCCTTGTCAAGCCAACCAATTTCTCCTTTAGCATGCAAACAGAACACAGAGCTGCATGGTTTCATACAGGGAAGCGTTTCTCTGCCTCTCACGAAGAGCAAAGTCAATGAGTAGAAAACTCAGTGCCTAGGAGGGAAAACTTTGCCCTTTGCACAAGGCAGAATGGACTTTTGGAACTCACTGTCACAAGACGTCGCAATGGCCAGTAGCACAGATGGCTTTCGAAAGGGAAGTAGGCAAATCCAAGACCACGGTCCACGATGGCCTAATGAAACCTCCATGCTCAGAGGCAGTCTACCTCTGAAACCAGAGGACACAGGAAACCATCCAAAGGGGAAAGCTACTGCCATCCTTTCCTGCTTGTGGGCTCCCTTCGGGCACCTGACTGCTCCCAAGATACAAGGCTGGATGGAAGAGGAAAGGCACACCTGTAAGTCATCTGAAAAGAGCAGAAGGCTTCTGAGCACGTGCAGGGTGCCATTTGTCACCACACGGCATTAACTCCAGGAAGGATGCAAGCACCCCAACGCCTCCCGCTTCACCCTGTTATTGGAATTCACAAGACGCCCTTGCACTCCTTTCCTGGCATTGCTGTCGGCAACATGAGGACTAGCGCCTTGCTTGCCGGAACAAAACGAGGCGTTTCCTGAGCTGTGCCGACTCAGAGCAGTATCTCCGGTTATGTGCCAGACTCGCAGACGTGTCACTTTGGAACAAAAGCCCATTTCGTCAGCGAGAAATAAATCTTTATTTGGGCTTCCGGTAAGAGAAGGTTGAATTGCTGACACAAGAGATACAATCAAAAACTGCAGAGGCGGCACTGGAGCCCAGCCCAATCTAACCTTGTCCCTTGGAACGTGGCACTCGGAAGGACGTGTGTAGAGTCCACTCCGTGCCGTGGCGCCAGATTTCCTGGCCGGCAGGCACTTGGTTGCTCGTTCAAACGTCTTGCTTACTTCGTGCTCACAGTGTCAGAAACCTCAGGAGTCACTCCATGAGTTTCCTTTCCTTACTCCCATGTAAACGTATGGCTGTCAAATGACCCTTTTTAAAAAAGGATGTACCTCCTCCATTCTGCGAGTTTTCCCCCCACGGCGCTGCTTCACATTCCTCACCCATTGCTCCTTCCCAGTTTAGACTGGAGGCTTCCTAAAATTCCTCAAATTCATTCCAGATCGATGCGTCTGGCACCTGATTCTCGTTGAACGTTAGCGCACAGGTACACAGACTGAAAGGAGACAAAATGAATTGGTGGAGGATCGGTCTAGCAACAGCCTGTAGCCACGAATGTTCAGTGAAACCTCCATGGCCATAGGCAGTCTACCTCAGAGAGAGACACAAGCAACAATGCAAGAGAGCTGCTTCCATGCTGCTGGGTATTACAAGTTGAAAACACTCAGTATATCTGGGGTTAAATGTTTGTTTCTGTTACTCACAAGAAGTCACATGTTTCTCATGTAATCAATGTTCTTTAACTGTAAGAAGCCCGGGAATTTTCTCCCTGATCTAGGAGTTTGATTGGGACGAAAGTGTCAAAGTGTTTTAGCATTTTATGGCTCCTCTTCCCGTCTTTGTTTGCTGTTCTCAAGAAGAAGTAAGAGTAGCCATAATTGCTCTCTTCTAGTCTTGTCTTTGTAGAGTAAGGATGTAGCCTATTTAGCTCCGTTGTTATTTTCATCCCAGTTACCCTTCCCCAAGCTAGAATTTAGTAAAAACTTTCTATTTTAATCACACATGGACTCTGAGTCTGAATTATTTTACTCTGGCACTGCTAAGCTATCTTATCTCTGCTAAATACCAATTTTTCAATATCTCACTATCAAAACCCAACACATGCCCCCCTGGTGGGTTTTCCGGATGGCTTCTAAGGGCGGCTGGATGCTGGCTTTCGTCTGACCCAGCAGGGCTCTTACGGCCCTCGGGAAAAAAAGGGAATCAAGACAAGTCACATCACCCCATC